CCTCTGCTCCATGGCACTGCTCTCGGGTTCATCAGCGCAGTCTGGGAGGAACCCAGTTACTGCTCGGTCTTTGCCCCTTGCATGCTGTGTCTGCCCAAAGCGAAGTGGCAGCAGGAAGCATGTGTGGCACAGCTGGCTCACAGCCACCTCTCCAAGGTCCTTCCCCAGACGCCTGTTCCCTCCTGGTTGCCACCCAGACTGGTTTCCCCAGTGCCCTAATCTCCCTGCTGTTCACAGAATCCCACTGTTCCTGGAATTTGTTTTATTGTTTCTAGAATCTGGGTGGCTGCACCTTTCATCCATACCCCCCTCAGTAAGTTTCAGAGAACCTTATGGTCATTAATGAGTCTATTTTCACAACCTCCCCAGAAGCAAGCCTCTTCCGTGTTGCAGATCAAAGAACCTACCACTGACACACGAGGAATCCAGCCAACTGGCCCTCCCCACACGGAAGGCGGGCCCTGTGCTAATCTCGCCTTGGCTTTTGACTTGCTGTGTGGCCTTCGTTTCCTCCTCCAGTGATAATATCTACCTCACAGGAATGTTGTGGAGTTCAACAACTGCTCGGAACAGTTCCTCTTGAACGCTGAACGATAGGGATCGGATCTACTGCGGTGCCAGGGAACTCGGAGCACTTTGTGGCAATCTAACCTGCACGTTCTCTCTGTGAGGTAGATAAGTGGCAGGTGATCCTGTGCCCACTTTAGACCCTAGAAATGTGCATTTTACCGTCTCATGTTCACAGTTTCTATCCACTTCCCCTTTCCAGATCCACAGGAAGCCGTCTATCTGAGTGGAGGCTAAAGAGTGGTGTACAAAGCAGGCTGTGTGTCATTGCAATCCTTTGGTTTGTGTGTCTGATTCCACTTTTGGTCTGAAGGGGAGAGATGCCTTCCTGGGACCTGGGTCCCTTCCTGGTGCCCTTTTTGGTTTGGGTCCCTTTTCTCGATGTTCTGTTTCTTTGACCTCTGCAGCATTTAGCGCTAATAATGACCACACCTTCCCAAAACTTGGGTGTGATGTTAATACTCCCAGAATTCTGCCTCTGGGACTGACCAAAACTGGTTCCCCTAAATGCAGGCTGAGGTGGAGACCTTTTCTCAGTGTAATCTCAGAGGGAATCACATCCATTTTAAAGATTTGAACCAAAACCAGTGGTCAACTTCTAGTTCTGAATTTCTAACTTATTTTCTTTTTAAATGTTTTTATTGATTTCCGAGAGGAAGGGAGAGGGAGAGAGAGATGGAAACATCAATGACGAGAGAGTATCATTGACTGGCTGCCTCCTGCACGCCCCCTACTGGGGATCGAGCCCACAACCCGAGTATGTGCCCTGACCAGGTATCGAACCTTGACCTCCTGGTACATGGGTCCACGCTCAAGCACTGAGCCACACCGGCCGGGCTGCATTTCTAACTTCTTGCTTGGTATGTCTTCCTAGATTGTCCTGACATCTTGCAGATTTCACATATTTAGAGTGGAATTTACTTTCTCTCCTCTCCCTCAATTACCCACCTGAAAAAACAAATTAGTCCCCTTTGGGATGAACTGAATTTCGTCAGGGGCTCCATCGTTAGTTCAAACCTTGGAGTCATTTGAACTCTCTTTCCCTCAACCCCTGCATCTAATGTGTCCCCCTAACCACCCGTTTGTGCCAGCCCACCCACATTCAGGCTTGTATCACACAGAGCTGCCCTGTTACATCAGGGCTTTCCTGCTGGGTCCCTCTGCCACAGGCTCCGCCCACTGCAGTCAGGTGAGCCTTCTGTCCGGAAGCCTTGACCTTGCTTTCTCCCACTCTCACGCTTCTCCATGCTCTCTATTGCCTTACAACAATTGTAGTGATTATCTATGGCTGTGCAACAAACCCAAACTGTGTGACATAACACTACCACCAGGTTCTGGACTCCCGATCCTCTGGGTCGGGAACTTGGAAGGCACAGTGTGTCAGCTTGTCCCTGCTCTATGACGTCTGCAGCCTCCCAGGGACGATTCAAAGGCTGGGGCAGCTTGACATCTGAGGGCTCACTTGCTCACGTCTTTAGCGATGTTGCTGTGTTGTCTGAGCCCTCAGCTGGAGCTGTCACGGGAACAGTGGTGTCTCCCTGTGGTTGCTTGTGCTTCCTCACAGCGTGGTGGCCGGTTTCTTACCTTTTAAATGGACTCAAGAGTACCTATCACAGAACGCTTTTCCAGGCACTGTGTTAAAAGACTTTCTAGCCCTGGCAGGTGTGGCTCAGTTGGTTGAGTCTTGTCCTGTGAACCAAAAGGTTGCTGGGTCGATTCCCAGTCAGGGCACATGCCCAGGTTGGGAGTTTGGTCCCCAGTTGGGGTGTGTATGGGAGGCAGCTGATCAGTGTTTTTCTCTCTCATTGATTTTCCTTCCTCTCTCTCTCTCTCTCTCTCTCTCTCTCTCTCTCTCTCTCATCAATAAAAATATACAGGGTAATCCCCCCAAATATATACACACTTTGAAGGCAGTGTTTATTAAAATACACTTCATTGTCAAAATGTAATAGAATGTATAGCTCTCAGGTGTGTGTCTACATAAAAAAAAGACTTTATGCATTCTCATCTAACAATTCGGAGGGTTTAGATGAGGCACCTGGGGGCTGTGGTTGTCTAGATTGGATGGAATCATAGACATGTCCACAAACCCTTTCCCCTTGCCACATAAACCTCAATGGATCCTGGTTCTCAAGACTTGTAAGTATCTGTTGATTTTACTGTCTTCTCTTCAGTTTAGCCAACGAGAAACATTTAAACAATGTTTAACTCTTCAATAGCAAAAGCAAAACAAAGGACATATCCCTTTGGGGACAGAAGAAAACAATGTGTTTATGGCTAACAGTTTTCCTTTATAATAATAGTTTGGTCTTGAAAACACCCTAACATAGTAGATTCTTTTAACTCACTTACGATGACATCATTATATATAATAATTTGTCTATAAATGTATAGTAGTCCCTCCTTATCCATAGGGGATATGTTCTAAGATTCCTGAAACCATAGATAATACCAAACCATATACAGTATGTGCTATGGTTTTTTTCCTATATATACACACCTATGGTAAAGTTTAATTTATAAATTAGGCACAGTAAGAGATTAACAACAATAACTAATAAGATAGGTCAATTATAACAATATGCTGTAATAAAACTTATGTGAATACTAGGGGCCCGGTGCACGGATTCATGCACTGGTGGGGTCCCTCGCCTGGCCTGTACCCTCCTGCAATCCGGGACCCCTTGGTGGATGTCGGAGAGCTGGTTTTGGCCAGATCCCCGCAGGCCACGCCACTGGGCCTCTAGTATGCATATAAAATCTTTGGTTAATCTCTTCCCGCCCTCTCCCCCCTTCCCTCTGAGATCCATTAGTCTGTTCCATGTTTCCATGCCTGTGTCTTCCCCCTGGTGGTCAGTGCACGTCATAGCTATTGGTCGGCCGGTCGGCCGGTCGGCCAGTGTCTACTATGTTAGGGCTTTTATATTATATAGATGGTCTCTCCTCAAAATCTTACCATAGTGTACTCACCTTGATGGCTTTTCCTTGATGTATCTGAATTGCCGGCATCACTACCCTGTGTTTTGGGGCCATTAGTAAGTAAACTAAGGGTTCCTGAACACAAGCACTGCGGTACCACGAGAGTCGATCTGATAACCGAGATGGCTACTGAGTGACGGAGGGTGGGTAGCGTGGATGTGCTGGACAGAGGATGATTCACGCACTGGACGGGACAACAGGATGGCATGCGATCTCATCACACTACTCAGAACGGCACACAATTTAAAACTTTTTATTTAGAGGAAGTTTATTTCTGGAATTTTCCATTTAATGTTTTCGGATCACAGTTGGCCATGGGTAACTGAAACTCATGGGTGCTATTATCTACTGCATATGTTTCTGTGTAAAGTCTGTGTATATATCTGTGTGTATATGTGTGTACCTTTACCTACATTTACACATGTAACAGCATCAGACCTTATCAGGCCTCAGTTCAGCGCCTGCCAGCCCTGATGTAGAGCTGTCCTCGCAGTCCTCCAGTGCGCTGTGTGTGAGCAGAGTGGAGGGTCATTTCCTGGAGTCTGTGCGGCCTCGATCAGTCTGTTTATTCTTAGTTTGATGACCCCAGGGTGGATCACACAGGCCTCTCACTTTACTTCCCTATTTTCACCTCCCACTGTGTCACCTACTTCCAAGCTCGCTCTGCCTCCAGATCGCTCCGCCTCCTAATGTGGAAAACTTAAACCTGTCAGTGTTGCCCCTCATTTCACAGTTCATTTCACAGTTGGCTGGGGAAGGGAGGCAGTGCTCTGTTGCGTACGATGCAGTTCTTGTTGCAGTCTCTCCTTTGGTTTTTTAAAATAACCCAGGAAGCCGCATCACTCTTCACATCTCACTCCTGTGGCGTGTCCTGACGGCGGTCTCGTCGCCTTGTGCCTCACTTTCATCCCCTGCAAAATGGGGATCAGCAAACATTGCGCCTGGAAGTTTCTAAGGCACCAAGCAAGCTGGTTAGTTGGGTAAACAGGAGGCATGATCTGTCGGCCACCCAGAAGAAAGGCACCCCACGAGCAGGCCAAAGGCTGCCCTGACTTGCCAGAGGAGCGTTCTCTGTAAGCAGAAGAGTCAGGAAGAACGCTGACAGGGGCGAATTTCCCCCAGGGTCTGCTGGTCCTGATGACAGAGGGGACCCACTACATGGTGTTCATGTCCTTTCGGATGAAGGTGAAAGGGGAGGAGTGGGCAGAAAGGGAGAGGAAGACAGGTGTGTGAGAGACCTGCATGAGGTCTAGACGGATACACAGCATTTATTAGCCTGGAGGAAACCAGCATGAAAGTACAGTGTTTAGAGAAAGAACTGATTTCTGATAAAATCTGTAATTCATTGGCTGAGGTGAGGAGGAAGCAAAGTTTACAGTTCTAACCATAGACATGAAATTAAGAGAGAAAACCCACTTGCAGGGAGAAGAGAGTATGAGCTTCTCCTTTCCCTTATGACATCAACTGGTGAAATTCACACACAAGTCCACATGCGCACAGAGCTAGGTGTCCCTGGGGCCTAGAAGCTCCCCTTGGAGTGACCTTCGGTGTGGCTCGGCCATTTGTGGACTTGGCTACTCACTAGTACTTGTGCAGTCACTACTTCGTTCCAGAGTTTGTCTCTGACCACGCAGATCATAATGATTCCAGCCTGGCCAGGTCGCCCCAGGTGAGCGTTTCGGAAGCTCCGGGCCTCGGTGTCCTGACCTCTGCAGAATGAAGTTCCTCTGCGATCTGAAACCGGTTCTTCAAAGCCTTTGAGAACGCCAGCCGTCAGAGCTCGTCTCTGTGTAACTGTGTGGCTGGAGTGGCCGCAGCAGCACGACTCCTGAGCGACCTGTCAGTGTCCTGTCACCTCAGCCGGTGAGAGCTGCTGGGAGCAGCGTGCTGGACTCCCAGGGGTTTGCTGGGGGAGGCTAGCTCCTCACCAGGGCCAACTGTGGGCATCGCCCCCCAACTTGTGTTGGGTGACATTGCATTAGTCGCTTTAAATTAGCTATGGTGACAGTATTCACACCATGGAACTTGGCAAAAACCACAAATCACCCCCTCCCCACCCCCGCCCCAAGTGTAAGGGTGTATTGTTGGTCCTTGCATCCAGGACAGCTAGCTTCTCTGATTTGAGTTTGTCTCTATCAAGGCTCATTCCTTTGTGCTCCAACCTTCACTCCCCAGTCAACACGCCCAGCCACTTCAAGGTCATCACAGCCTTCTTTCTGCTTATTTAGCTCATAGAGATGTCCATGCAGACGCAAGGAAGCGTGTGAAAGAAGAGCCTTTGGTTTTGAGCCTGTGGCTGCAGCAGATCCTCTCGCTGCTAGCGACAGCCCTCTTTGGTCTTTAATACTGTTGTTAGTCAAAAATGGGTAGTGTCTTATAGTTCTGTCACAGCCCACGCTCTTTGCCCCACAGATACCTGGAATGACCAGTGACTGCCCTGCCCGAATGCCTGCAAAGATCTCCCATAGCCTACTGCGTAGTGCACACTCCTCACAGTGGAGTTAAATCATGAGGCCTCTGCAGTCCTCTAGAGTTAGCATTCATCTGTCTCCCCAGTAGATGTGTCCTATTTGCCTTTGCCCAAACACAAGTCTGTTCTCTCTTCTCCCAGCCCAAGCTCATCTCTGACCATCATAATCCTGTCATGGTCTCCACTGAATACCACCCGGAGCCATGACTGGGATCCCTGACTTCTCAAGGATGTGACTCCTTTAAGCTGCGAAGGGCAGCTCCTTGGGCAGGCCCTGGAGGCCCAGAATAGCCGACCAAAGGGGTAGCTCCTGACTCTAAAGATGCAAGACCAGTGTCTCTGGTGTCCCCCCCAACTCCTTGTTCATCTTCCTTGCTTCTCAGGTTTTGGTCACGGCTTTGCTCCTACTGGCCAGCTTTCCACCCAGACTTTTTTCTGTCCATCTGCCAGAATGGACAGAGGAGGGAGTGTCTGACATAATTTCTGGCAAAGTTATTGCTCTGGCCCTTGAACTACACTCACACCCTCCCTTGGCCCTGAACTTCTCAATTCAAGGCCTGTCCTCCTTGGTGCAAGCGTCAGCATTTTGGTTTGTTAAGGGTCAGTTAATAATTATATTAGGCTTTGTGGCCCCTATGGCCTCTGTCACAACGACTCTGTCCCATTGTAGTGGGAAAGCGGCTATAGATAATATGTAAACAAATGCGTGTTTCAATAAAACTTTATTTGCAAAAACAGGCTTTGGGCTGGATGTAGCCCATGGGCCATAGTTTGCTGAACCCACCTGAGTCAAACACCTGCTAATATCTATATCTGGCGACTGCTCATGTGCCTGACGGTCAGCCTGACTATGTGATGTCCACCAGTGTGGCCCAGGCAGGAGCTCATGCTGGGGACATGCCCACCGGGGAACCTTGCAGCCTCAGATGTGAGGGTCCCGAGGACATTATTTGTCCCATTTGCTCTACCCATTAAGGAACACGACTCAAAACCAGGCAGGAGCACTGTGTTCTGAAGGCCAGTGTCACAGAGCAGCATTCCTGCAGTGCAGCCCTCGGTGTCCTGCTTTCATGTTTTCTGTCATGTCTCTACTGCTGGCACTGTTAGCTACTTCATAGCCTCCTTTTAAAAATGATCCCCTTTTAAAAACCTTAATCAGTACTTCAAAAGGAAACTGTATATCGTTTATATAAATGGAAAACCAGTACCATTTGCAATAAATAGAAAGTAACCATAAAAATAAAATATACTGAAAACAAAGTGTTATTAAATTCTAGTTACTGTTGCTACTTGGAAGGCTCCAAGCCCAACACCTTTTCTTTAAAAGAGGGAAGAAGACTAGTATTGCAGAGGTTATTGAAGACTGTCAGGTCCCAAACTGATCCATTCCTTGGTATAAAAAGTCATATTAGAAAATAAATGTGGTGCTTTTTTGTCTTTTTTTTAATTGCTGTATTTGCTCACCTCCTGCAGTCATTGCATGGAACGCTGTCTCATGTCCCACCTAAAAACGCCACCAGAATGAAA